TATGGGAAGGAAACAAGAAGGTAGTGAAAGAACTCGAGGCGGCGCAGATGGGAGCAGCGAAAATCATCCTAGGATGCTCCAAGCGCACCAAGTAATGCAGCCGTCAGGGCAGAATTGGGGATCCAATCCCTACGGTCCGGAAGAGACGCGAGGAAGCTAACATGGCAGTATCGAATGTGCGGGATGGGAGTGGAGAGGTTGCCGAGGATTGTATGGGAGGCGAAGTGGGCAAACAAAAAGAGGGGTAGACAACCCACGGAATGGGTCAAGGTTGTAGAGGACGTATGGAAGGGGTTCGACATCGACGAAGATGAAACGCTGGAAACGGAGGGTCTACAGGGGTTCAAGGAGAAGATATCTGTTGCTTGTGCCGAGAGAGAAGAACATGATCTATTTAAACCAAGGACAAGGAGGGTCTAGAAGTGTGCGGAATGTTGAAAGAAGGAATAGGGTTCAAGGACTACCTACATGGACCAATGGATGCAGGGACAAAACTCAAGTTAAGGTCAAATTCAGGACCGGGGACATAGGCCTTCGAGAACGTCGACGAAGACACAGGACGGTAGACGACGAAGACGACGAATTCAAATGTGATTGCGGCTTCGAATGCGAAGACCGTGTTCATGTAGTCGCGGAATGTCAGTGGTACAAGAAGGAGAGGGAAGTGTACATGACTGAGCTGGGAAAAATAGATGGGACGTACAGGGAGATGTTTGAGGCATGGAATAGAGAGGAGAGGACGGTAGCTGTACTGGGGAGTAAGAGGTGGGTTGAAAAGGCGGGAAGGGGTATCGTTAGGATAGACAGACTAGGGAAGACATTTTTGAGCCACCGTTGGCGAAGTAGAACGGAACGATTGGCCATAGGTGATCGGTCCTGTGGGAACAATGCTCCGTCATCTCGAGGACGCGTTGTCAATGGTCTAACCTCTAAGGCATGCAAAACAGTACGCCTCCCCCCCCCCTCGGAAAAAACCAACAACCCAGCTTCTATCCCCTGGATCCCGTACACTGTGCTGAGCGTATTGAGCATGACGACTTGTTTGGGAGGTTCGTCGCGGATTGTGCTCAATAGTCCAAAGCAAGACCTCCGCTCGTCGATGTTTTCGTCCGACGAGCGCTGATCAGGTACAATTCCGCGATGCCCCTCATCAGCACTGCTGTATGAAAGTAATTGCGCCGCGGGTAGGAGTCGACGGCAACAGTAGGGCAACCAAAGGTAGGCGTGATCTCGGAGTTCGCCCGGTATGCACCCGAGGTCCTTCCGCAGGCGAGAGTTGCTGGGTCTAGGCAATGAAAATCGTTTCCTGGTCACAAGCGGCAATAAAAATCGATTCCTGGTCACAAGCACAGGTACGTTGCCCTCGAGAACCTCACGGCTGCGTATGGCGAATGATGCTGTTTGTTGATTTTTCTTTTTCTTAATACAACACAAAACTAGTCCATCTCTCATCCACGGATGGAAGTATTTTGCATATTTTCCTCCTGATCTCCGTAGATCTCGTCGTGCCGCCGCTTTTGTCGGGGTTTCGGGTGGAGGTTGCGCTCCGAGGGAAAAGAGGTCGCCACGATGAAGCTACTCTCCACATCGCACTCTGCCGTGCAGCCGCTGCAAAAGGTACCACATTCACGTCATCGCGAACTGCACCAGCCCCAGATGCAGAGGAGTACCGTTGCGAACAAAAAAAAAAAACAACGAAACAAAAAACACTTCAACAGCGCATGATCAAAACTAATAACCCCACCTCCATTTCTCGGATGAACTAGCTGTGCTGATGGTTGAATTGGTCGAGGGCGAGACGCCCTTCGCCGGCATGCGCGGGGTCATCGCCGCCGCCCTCGGAGCTGCGGCTAGAGGCTCCGCCCCCGCCTGCAGCAGCTCCCTCATGACCTGTTATTGGCCGTGGGTTGCGCAACCGAACGAACGCACAACGTTGGCACTGAGCCGGGATGCTACATCACCCCTTCGACGACAGTGTGTGTGCGTGTGTGTTCGTCTCATCTGTTCTGGCGCCGGTTTACAGGCCTTTCGGCGTATATACCTGACGTATCAGTCGGGGTCACGCAAGTGGAGGGTCACACAAGAGCTTTTTTCATCATTTTTGTTTTGTTTTATGGCCCACTCTTCCCCCCCCTACGATATTGCTCTGGATATATCGCGCCAAGAGCAGACTTTGCCCAGGTCACAAAGGTAGCTGTGCGCACCACACAGCCGCACCCGCAAGCAAGGTCACTGCGATACAAGGCCGGTGCACTGAGCGTAGAAAGAAGCAAGCGTTCTCCTTCCTACCTTTGAAAAGTTGTTCTGCATGACCACCCGCTAGCTGCTTTTTGACGGAGCGGGAACTACGATGCAACCATGCCATGGGACACATGGAACGGGAAAGAATGTAGGACCTTCCTCCGAGAGTCAAGTGTGTTGTGTTTACACGAACCCTTAGCGGTGTCCGATGCCGTTGGCGGTAATATTTTTGAAACTTTGTTTGAAACCTGTTTTTTTTTTTGTGGCGCAGCCTCCTGCATGATCCAGCGGCTAAATAAAGTCAGTCGGCTCCCAAATGGCCATATTTTGCCCCTTGTCCGGAAACAAAGAGCAAACACTGGACACCCAAATAGATTGCTGAATTACAAAAATGCGAAACTTTGCCCCGCTTCGTCACCGATGGACGATACCCACGCTTCGACTTACACCACCTGGTAACAGAGTCGCCCCTTCTCGTCATGCATACAGGCAAAATTCGCCCAAATTCGGCCGGAAATTGGTCGAAGTTGGCCCACATGTGGTGAGATGTGACCCGCCAATTCCCAGGGACACCAACTCTGATTTGTCTCTTTTTGCATGAATCTCCTTGACCATGTACTTCCAGCCAACCTAACTACACCATGATACACCCCACCCACCCTTGAGGAGATACGATATGCGTGCCATAGCCGACATACTGAAAGGATGAAGTTATTGTTAGAACGGTAGCGATTCACCATCAACCTGCGTCCCTGGAGGCAACAGCGCTGGCGCCCTGTCTGCCGTAAACCGTGCGGTACCTCAACATCCTTCGCCGAGCCACACTGTAAATCTCACGGGTTGCGCAAGCGCGTTCTAATCTATTATTGTTGCAACCGACGCCTTTATCAATCGTGCACCAACAGACGTACACCGCTGCTTGCGTAAATACCACGCCAAAATCGTGAAGTACCTCGAAGCTTCCGCCCAGCCCGGCCAAAGACAACGGCGTCTCCCCCGCGTTCGTCACGACGTTGGGGTCCGCTCCCGCCCGCAGGAGCTCTCTGCGCGTATAAATTTAGCGCGCAAACGCGAAGCGAGGCATCATCGATATCAAACGCAAGCACTTGTGTGTCTGTAAGTCTGACGGGTTGGGGTTGCGACGAACGATAAGCTGCGCAAGGTCCGAAATTAATCGGGGACTTGGGTATTCGCAGGGTAGTGTACTAGCTTTGTGTAGCATGCGGAGGCGGTATGCACTTGTGTGTTTTAAATGTTGGCATCGACCGCGCCAACTGGCTGACCAATGGAGAGACGTCAGTCTCGTAGCGGGACAATAAACACGTTCAATTTCTAGTTCGAAGGGTTCTGCCGACAGGGGGCGGGAAGGGGCGCACGAGTTGGACGACAGACAGAGTCCTTCTGAATTACCAATCAATAGTATCAGGCAGCAATGTTGCTGCATCATGTCTGAAGTACCGATACTATCAGACAGCAATGGTGCTGCGCCATACCTGAAGCACCGACGCTACCAGACAGCAAAGTCGTTGCATCATTTCTCAAGCACCGATACCATCGGACACCACCATTGTTGCTGCCGTCATCATGTCCTTGTCCCACGCCTGCGTGTGTACCTGACGACGTCCCAGCGGCAGTCCTCCGCCGCGTCGTGGAGTAGGGTGCGGCCCAGATCGTCCTGCTCGTTGGGGTCCGCCCCCGCCCGGAGCAGGTACTTGGCCGTCAGGTCGTGCCCCCCCGCGCACGCCGCCGAGAGAGCCGTCCAGCCGCCAGTCATCTTGGCGGTCGTGTCGGCCCCGACCTCGAGGAGGCTCCGAACCACGTCTGCAGCAGCAGCAGCAGCAGCAGCAGCAGTAAGAAAGATTGGGACGACAGACAGAACACTCACGAAGCAGCAGCACCGGCGAAGAAGATCGATCGGGCGGCATTGATCAGCAACGATAAGCCCTATCCGAGACCAGCGTCGTGCCCGCGCTGTTTCACGGCGGTGTCTACCCACCAACATCCCCCAAGCGAACAAAACTCATCGCTCATGCGTGATCTTGTTTGTTGTATTTTTTCTTGTTACACCTCAATGAATCCATCTCGAACAATAGGCAAGGGCCTGGGATATATTGGAAATGAGTTCTTAGCGAGCGTAACCGAAGCACTACTGTATCTTTGTTTCTACGATTGCCAAAGCAGCACACAGCGATATCTCCCCTGTGGGTAACAGGCTCTGCAAGATCGTTCGGTGGCCACCTAGCGCATCTTCGACTTAGCGCTTGCACCGCCTCTGCCTGTGCAGGAGCTCCAAATCATTCCGTCACCCAAGCGAAACCTCAAGGCATCCTAAAAGTGCTCTCTAGTCCCCCTGGATAGTATTCCGTCCAAGACACTCTTGAGCAAGGACACGCCTACACCCTCCCGTCTTCCCGTTGAAGGACAGAAGCACTGGTAGTGTCTACTTCTGATCCGTTGCTACACAGAAAGGTTCCTACCCTTGAGGCACCCTACCCACGGTGCTTGCTTTCGATTTTTCACCCGAGCAGAGTGCAGCCCTCTCTTTCCCTCAACCCAAAACGTAAAAAAGGAACAAAAAACACAGCAACGGGCGGCAGCGGGCGCACCTGCGAAGCCGTTGCGGGAGGCCATGATAAGCGCTGTGCACCCCTTGTCGTTGCGGACGTCGAAATCCGCCCCCATGTCGAGCAGCTCTCTGACAATCTCCCCGTTTCCATCCGCGGCCGCCGTCATGAGAGCCGTCCAACCCTTGTCCCCCACGGTGTCCACGTCGGCGCCGGCCACCAGCAACGCTCGCACCACGTCTGAAGGATGGGTGACAACGCACAACACCATCGGGGGGGGGGGTACTCGATGGTTTGCACGCCTTGGCGGTTAGGCCAATGACCACCAGTAGCGCTCGCACCGCGTCTGAAGGATGATAACCCGCAACACCATCGGTGAGGGGCGGGGCGTACTCAAACGTTTCGCGTGCCTTAGCGGCTAGACCCTTGACCGCCAGCAATGCTCGCACCACGTCTGATGAATGGATGACAACCCACAGCATCATTGGGGGTGTGGGTGGGGGGGCGTACTCATATTTTGCATGCCTTAGTCGTTAGACCAGGCGGGCTCGAGAGGACGGAGCATTGTCCCCACAGGACCGACCACCGTTGGCAAGTTGTTCCTTCCTGCTTCGCCAAAGGTGGTTCAAAAACATGCTCCATCGGGGGGAGGGTAGGCTCAAAACAAAAAACTCAAGCATCCAAGTGTTGGAGTAGTACGGACAGAAGAAGATACTGGGTAGCAACAACAACAGCAACACGACAACAACAACAACAACAACAACAACAACAACAACAACGACGACGACCACAACGACGACGACCACAACGACGACGACAACAACAACAACAGCAGCAACAACAGCAACAACAGCAACAACAACAACAACAACCTCAAGCATCGATAGACACACAAAAGTACGCGTGACCTTCTCGTTAAACAGGGGGCAGGGCTGGTAGTCTCATGAAACAAGACGTGAAAAATCGTGTGGCATTGTTTTCAATTCACGTGCTGTTCAGGTCCCCGCTCTCATTTTGCACCCACCAGGTTTTGCGCAACAACGCAGGAAAAACATAAACTGAGCGCACGCAGTTGCTAATACAAAACAAACTGCAGCAGCAGCTGTCAACCACACCAAGCGCAGTTGTTGAACACAAAACAATCAGCAGCAGTAGCAGCAGTAGCAGCAGTAGCAGCCACCAACTGTACACACCGGTGTGTCCCGCTTGCGACGCCATGTGCAGGGCATTCCAGCCTTTCGACGTCCTCTCCGACACGCTTGCCCCGGCCCCGATAAGCTGCCGCACAATCACCGAGTGCCCCCCCAACGCCGCTGCCAGCAACGGCGTCCACAGCTTGTCCGAGAGCGGCGCCGAATGCACCCCCGCTCCCAGCAACTCCCAAACAACACCTGTGGGGGGGGGGG